ACTGACAACGTAATGTGTCGTTGGAGGTATTCATTTTGTGCTTTACTAGTAGATGACATTGGCCATGATGACAATTTTGGTACTAAAAACTGAAAGAAAACATGGCTTACCTCGTAAGGTGCTTACCTATTTTCCCAGTGGGTACACTTATACTTCTACAATCACAAACATTTTCATAGGCTGTCTTTCTTTGATTTCGAATTGAAAACACATTAGAGGGATTCACAACGGTGTCGTAAGTGTCATATTGTTGTATGTCGTAAACTTTAAAAGCTTAAATAAATGTCTAGACAACCTGAAACCACAATCAACTATTTTTGAACACTGCGAAAATTCTCAATATGACTTTGATGGTACTTTGCGAACCCCCGTAATATATTTTTTAGGCGTTTAAAGTTTACGACATACAACTATACGACACTTACGACACCGTTGTGAATACCCCAATTGTGATCATATTGTACTAGCAATATAGAAGTATTACATATATGGGTGCATGCAATAACACCATACGCAGTAATTCCCATTACTTGGACATTAAATAGCAGTTTCAGAAGTGAACTAGTGTCTTTTTATTATTATTCTTTTTTCTAAACGGTTATAATGCCACCAGTTCATAATTGCGAACAGAGGGGGCGGGGGACGCGAGCGCGAGCGTGACGTCGAACGCGGCGAGGTGCGGCGCGCGAACGCGGACCGCCGTGACGCTGGGCACTTTCAAAATTGTAGACTTACAAATCTGTCCATTTAACTTGTTCATGTACTACTTTTTGTCAAATGTAACTGCGCGACTACCTACATGTGTACTATTTTGCTTTATTACTCAATTGTTAAGTTTAAAAGTTGGTCTTTTTGCTCAACGAGAAATGAAATAAAGCAAATTTGTGTGTTATCACATTCAATTGGTGGTATGTAGTAAACAAAATGGGCCTGTAAATGTATGCGAATGGAACTTAGCCCAAGCATTCCCCGATCTCAACGTATTTCACATGATAATCTTTGCAATATCAGTTCTAGCATAACAGCCGAGTTTGGAATACCTTCACAAAATTCGTCCTGTGGCTTAAAATGGCGCTTTTCACCAAAAGTTTAAGCGATTTCATCGCCTCATTGCTGTTGGTTTGATCCATGCCGAACGTCATAGAAAATCATCGCACGAAAATGTTCACGATTTAATTCTATTATCTTTTTCTTACTAAGATGAATGTTTCAAGGTTTTGCAAAAACACTCAGATCACAGAATCCGATTTTTCGGGAATTCTACGAAAATGCGATCATTAAATCCGAATTGCTACGAACGTGGCGTATACTTTGAATACACACGTTCGCAGCGATTCGGACAGTGATCGCATTTTCGTAGATTTCACGAAAAATCGGACTACGATGGATCCTCTAATAGCCACTCTAATAGTCACCACTAATAGCACACGTATGACAAAACTTTCTGAATGCGTTTAGCCACTGTATTTTAATTCGCTGCACTATGTCCATATCGTTGTAAAGCTCATCGTTTAATCATCTGTGGATTTCGCAGAATCTTTCTCGCGAATATTCAAAGAGCTGCTTCATCAGATGTTTTCATTTTCCATGCCTCCGCGCTATACACCAGTACAGGCCTGTTGAGTGATTTACCTGAGGACTTAACTTTTCAAGTGCCTACTCAGTCCAAAGTAGCACTTGTTGTCAAGAGTGATTCTCCGTTGAATTTCAAGGTTGACATTTTTAATGGTGTTAATGCTGGTTCCCAAATAAACGAAGTCGCCTAGATTTTTAAACTTGCAACTATCAACGTTGACGTCGGTGCCAACGACGCTTAAGCTCTGATTGTTTGTGTGATGGCAGGTGACACTTCGTTTTGCCCTCGTTCACCACCAAACCCATTCGCTTTGCTTCTCTATCTAATCCCGAGAAGGCAGAAAAGACGCAGCCCTGGTTTTTACCGATAATGTCGATGTCATCGCCAGCAGTTGTACGCTCTTGGAAAGAATTCGGCCTGAGCGGTTCAGTTCTGCGGCTCTTATTATCTTCTCCAACATCAGATTGAAGAAATCACACGAAGTCACCTTGCCTGAAACCTTACTTGGTATCAAACGGCTCAGAGAGGTTCTTCCCAATTCTAACAGAGTTGGTGGTATTGCTCAACGTCATTTTATACTGTCTTGTATTGGTTTCGCGGGGATACCAAATTCAGACATCGCAACATAACCAACTTATTTTCGTGCTCTCGAAAGCGACATCTTATTCCCACGAGTCTTTTCCAATATTTGGTGTATTGTGAATACCTGGTCCGCCTCTGGCTTTCGCACAATACGCTCCATAAGACCTGGTAACCTACAATTACCTTTGAATGATGATCTCGCGGTAGTTGGCGCGTATGGCGGGGTCGGCTTAATTGTGCATTTTCGGGCGGTTTTCTTGTCGGCCAGCATTTTAAGCTTTTCGCACTCACATATTTCGGACTTTTTCTTCTTATTGCGGCAAATGCGCCTCGCTTCACTCTTCAGTCAACTATAACGGTCCCACATAGCTCGCGTTGTGCCGGGCCACGATACGCCCTGTAGGTGGCATATTTTTTCTCTGCAGCTTCTCGTTTTCCGATCTGGAGACTACCACGTAGTTTGATGGATCTTTTTATGCATGAACCTAGTACAGCGTACTTAATGTGACCAACCGTACTTCTTTCGGAAGTACAGCACTTCTTTTTTCGCTATTGTACTTCGTACTTCGAAGTACAGTCTAATGTACTTCTTTGCGATATTTTGTACTTCAGGAGGGAGATTCTGTAACCAGTTAGCGACAATTTTCGGATCGCTATCGCAGGGAGATTCTGTAACCAGTTAGCGACAATTTTCGGATCGCTATCACACTTTGCGATTGTCGCTAACTGGTTACAGAATCTCCCCCCAGGTCCTGTACTTATCCGATCTACAGGACGATCGTCACATGACCTGGGCGATAAATTCGTTCAAAACATTACAGTCGCGGGGGCCGATGCCATCATACCTGCGCAGCTGCAAAGGGCTCTGAAGGTGTCGTGCAATTGGTTGTATCCGGGTACATCTCCAAGGCTTGGAGGGTAGTCAGTGTTGCGTTCATCCCGAAGTCCGGACGAGGCTCTCATTTTTCCCGTAGGGATTTTAGGTCTAACAGTGTCTTCGTTTTTGCTAAAAACGCTAGAGAGACTGATAGAGCTGTACATAAGAAGCGCGATTCCTCGTGACTGTCTTTCAAGAACTCAATATGCTTATTGCAAGAAAAGGTCGGAAAATACCGCACACATTGGTAAAATGGTCAGACGAAGCCTTCGCGCATGAAGATTATGCACTAGGGGCTTCTTCGATATCGAGGGGGCCTTCAATATTGTCAGTCCAGAGGCAATAGTCAAGTATACTCATTACCTGGGGGTTGAAACCAACCTATCTACAGCTTACTTCGTGACAGAACCGTCGCAGCGGAGTGGGGTAGCGCCTGCACTCAGTGCAGAGTCATTAGGAGCACTCCACAAGGTGGTGTTGTCTCTTCCTTGCTCTGGATTGCAGTTAAAACGACCTTCTAGAGAAACTGGAAAAAGTGGGATGTCGGGTGATCGCCCATGTAGTTGTTGTGGAGCTTTTGATTAAGGGACGATTTATAGACACCCTTTTTGATCTGGCTGAAGGGTTCCTGAACCAGGTAACTAGGTAGGCAATCAACGGCGGCTGTCGTGGAAGCCTAACATTGAGAAAGGGTAGGAAAGGTGTCGGTTGTCTTTTACTGTTGTAGGGGAGCTATCGGTAAAAGATGGGCCAAATTAATTTATTAGCTCTAGAAAACTAGATTTAAGTTTTTATTGTCTGGTGGAACTCACTAGAGAAGGCTACACTTGTATAACAGGAATTAGCGGAGCATTAGGAACCACACCTACACTGGGCGCTTAACATACATATGTTGAACACGGCGCCCGCAGATATTGCAGACAGAATTGTCGCAGCACGAACTGCTATTAGGCTAAGGGAAACCGGGTACTTTTGTGACATAAAAAAGGAAAAGAAGATGATTCTCTGTGACCCCCTCATCAGAACTAAATTTCGACAAAATACGCATCCTAGTAACCGGAACCTTATTATTATAGATGCGATGTTATTAAGCTTTTAATTTTTTTTTTGGAGACTAAAATATTTTATAATCGCGATAAAAATACGCTTGTATTTTCTGTTATATGTTTGTCGAAGTACTTCTTGGAATACATATGTAGATACGTTGGTTTTTTAATATAATAGTTGACTTTTCCTGTAATACTAATAATCAGTTATAAGTATGTATGTATGTGTATGAAAGTATGCAATGTATCGAGTTTATATGTATATGCTGACTATAATTTTATTGAGAATCTTATTACTAAACTTTTTTGCAGTTTTTTATTTCCTTAATAATCTTAACTATAGCGTTTTTTATTCCTTCGACAATTCTTTTAGTTATTATTTTATTTTTATTTTTATGAGAATTGCTTATGGCTCTGCCACTACACGCGAATGCCTTTGTGTTTATGAATGTATGAGTTACCTACAGTACAACTTTAGTAATTTTCCAACTGCCTGGTTTGTTTCATGTAATAATGCGGAGATAACATGAAGGAATGACCAAAAAAATTGTATTTGCATTTGTTTTCATTGATAAGCGCAACTTAGCTTTTACTTTTTTACTCAATTACATTTCGTCCATCTATTTATGTATTTTATTTTATGATTTTTTTTAATCAATTCTTCATTGCATTGTTGATTGATGAAGGATTCTTTTTGAAATTCTAAAATAAGTATTTGCTTTTGTTTACAAGTACTTTGATTTTAATCTTGCAAAAACATCACCCTTGCCTAGGATATCATCACGCATTATATGTATGTATGAGCTTAACTGGTCTCTACATTTGACTAACCTGATATATGTATGTATGTGTTATTGCATTGAATGCGCTCTGCATTTGTCAAGACTGCAGCTATCACCATTGCCGTCTGTTGCACATCTCAAACACTACTCTTCGATACGAACTCGCGCAAGATGTCGCAGGCCATTTCGATGTTGTTTCGGGAGATGCCCAGCGCTGTGATCGCATTCTCCTTCGAATATCCCTCATTCATGAGACGTGCAATGTACTCCAGATTGATATTTTCATATGGAACATTACATTCCTTTTGATTGATCGTCACATTCTCGTACAGCAGAGGCTGTTGCTGTAGTTGTTGTGTTGATTGTAAGGTCTGCTGTTGATTTCGGTGTGAGCCCACAGCCGCTGATGTCGTCGATGGTCCTCCGGTCGGTGCTGACGCCGCCACCGCCGCTGGCTGTGTTGATGAAGTAGCATTGCAGAGCTGAGTATAGTGCGGAGTACCCGACATGGAGGTTAGACATGTTGTTGGTGGCAACTTTACCGTTGTTGGTTCCAAAATTCGAGCTGCTGCCGCCAGACGTGCTTCCAGTGGCCGTGTATCAATTACACCCGTAATGGTCTCTGCTGGTCCTACTATGTCGTCGTCGAGTATCGAACGCGTGGGCGAAGTAGCTGATGCCGAGCCTGGTGTCGACTGCAATGAGATGGAGGCCGCAGATGTTGCTACAGTCGTAGTGGCGATTGGTTGCGTGCGTAAATCGTCGACGATGCTATCAACTAGCATTAGATTGCCGTGCGGTGGTATCGGCGGTGCCGTTGTATGCGGTGGCATGGCAGCTCCTTCAGTGTTCGCCGCTAAACTGTCTGAGGGAGTTGCAGTTCCAGCTGACATCTGGCCTCTGTGCTTGACCACTGTCGCACTTGCAGCAGCTGCAACTGGCGTCACAGCAGCACTTGCGCCGACCATACTTGTGGCGCTATTTTCAACACCAGGTGACGACTTTCGTGGCGGCAGGGGTGGAGCACCAGAGATGCCGGCGTTCACGGATCCGCTGACGGCTTGACGTGATCCCGCTGATTGCTGTTGTGTTTGTGGCAGCAAGGGTTCTTGCAGGCCTTGCAATATAGCATACGATGAGTTGTCGTTGTGCTCGGATTTGCTCGTTGCCATTCTTGTAACATAGTTGCTGGTGGAATTGCCACAATTCGGGGCGGCAGCGGCACCCATTTGAGGCGCACTCATGCGATTGGTTGACTTTTGAGCAGCGCTTACGGTGTTGCCAGCTCCGCCGCCATTGAGCGCCTGTATCGACGGTGCCGTGGGTGCGGGCTGTGGTGAAAGTACTGCGTTAGCTATGGCCGATGCGCTGGCAGCGATGATGTAGTTGCTGCT